AAAAGTCAACTACATGGGAGTCCAGCGACAGCCATTATGCCAACTGCTGGTCCCTAGAGTTAAACTTTTCTACAACCTAAATTTCTGTTAGCATTCTTCCATGTTTTATTTTGCTTAGAGTTCATGATTCTAAATTGTTACTCATTTTCTGTTCTCTATGGAGTAGAATTCTGGGCTGTGACCACCATTTTGTCTGCAATGGTGCAGGCATGAAACTTTTTTTTATTTTTTTGCCACAGGGTATATCTGCTAGCCAGAGAGACAGACAGTGAGAATTCCCCCCCCCACACACACCCCCACCTGGGATGCTAGCCATGGCACAATCCCTTCCCTCTCCTCCTGTGATATTGGACATGCATGCATACACACCCAGTGTGATTTTCAAACTACTGGGTCTGGGACTCAGACCTCGGTCAGACATGTGGGAATCCAACACCTTAACCACCATGCCACCTGTTGACTCTGGCATGAAGCTTCTTGAAGGCCTTCCTTTGGCCCTCTGTGTAGCCATGAATCCTTGTCAGCCTGTCACTTTAATGAGGATGTTACTCTTCTCCCTGGCTTCAAAGATGGCTGAACTGTGTGGCTTCATGCTTACCTTTGCATCACAGAAGAGCCATCCCTAACACTGATCCCAGAATCTCACCTCACAAAAAACACTTAGGACACTTACATGGAAGCAAATGATACAAAAGAAAAAATGAAAACTGAGTGAAGAGAACAATAAGAACAACAAATATTAACTCAGATGGACATTGGTTGTGGATATGATCTATGTGTGTTATGTGTGTATGTAGTCCATCTTTACTTTAAAATCAATCCTGTAATGGAGCTAGACCAACAGAGACCTAGCTGTGCCTCTAGATGGAATGTTTGGGGCAGTATTTGGTCATAGCCTAGCCTTAGGAACAGATTTTAGAACTTTGTGCTGTATTTACTCCAGGGATGTTAAGGATGTTATTTATCCTATTACTAGAGGACCAATGGGAGAAGTTTCCCTTTGGTTATCAGTGCGAGAGCAGTCCTCTCAAATCACTTTATTAAGTCTTTTAATTAACAGTCTAGTACTAATGCTATGTTTTAAAGAATTGTTTAATTTTATTATTATTATTAGTTTGATCAGAGAGAGACAGAGAAAAGGAAAGTGAGAAAGTGAGCTGTCAGGTTTGAGACTCAAAACTGTGGTCGGCCATGCTGGAGTCCAGCGCCTCACCCATCCCATTATCTGCCAGCCCCCTATCATTATTCATATGGGCATTGACAGCCTATGTTCTTGTATACATACTTTTTTTTTTTAAGAATTATTTTAACTTTACTTATTTATTTTAATTTGACCAGAGAGGGACAGAGCGAGAGTGAGAGAGAGAGGGAAAGTGATAAAGCAAGCTGCCAGGTCTGGGACTTGAACTGTTGTCAGTCATGGGGGAGTCCAACACCCTCAACCACCACACTACCTGCTGGCCCCCATACTTTTTCTTAACGGGATACTATTTTTTAAAAATATTATTTTATTTTAACTTTATTATTATTTAATCTGACCAGAGAGAGAGAGAAAGTGAGAGAGCAAGCTACCAGGTCCAGGACTTGAACCCTGGTTGGCCATGTGGGAATCTAGTGCCTCAACCACCACACACCACCTGCCAGCCCCAGGGCTTATACTATTTAATTCTGCTACTTGTTTTTTCAGGTAATTCATCTTGTATATCAAATATTCATAAAGATGCTGAAAATACTTTCTGGAACCAAGCATGATAGAAAAAAAAAAAACTGTTCACACCTAATTTCAGAGTTAGAGACTTTATTATTATTATTTAAGTTCATTTATTTCTCCCATGAGACA